TTTCTTTCTTTCTTTCCTTTCTTTTTTTCTTTCCTTTCTTCTTTCTTTTTTTCTCGTCTATTCTCTTGTACATTTTTTTCTTCTTTTTTCTTTCCTTTTTGATTCAACATATATTTTTTTCTTCTTAGCCATTAGCCATGCCTACCAAATTTTTAAAAAGCATGCCCACTGAATTGAAAGTCTTTCTGCGACTAGAAGAAGCCAAGGAATCAACTGAAGAAGATTATCTAATACGGCTATTGCCTTATTTCACTATGACGTCACATCAAAACAATAGTGAATTAGGTCAATTGTTACGGATGGAGAGCAAATTATCGCCCATTGTGACTGGTCTGGCGTATCCTTACCGTGTCATGCCCGTGTTTGTGCCGTGAGCTTTTGACAGTCATACGAAAGGTTCTCCGTGATGATTTCGATGCCATGCGTTGTGTATGATTCTCTGGCGCCATCCAGTCACAGAAAGTGTTTCAATCCAGTACGTGGCCATGCTTTAAATTCATTGCACATGGCTATTAGCTCAAATACCAAGGGAAAATTATGTGAATCAACTAAAAAAGAAAAAAGAAAGAAAGAAAGAAAGAAAAGAAGAAAGAAAGAAAGAAGGAAAGAAAGGAAGAAAGGAAAGGAGTGAGAAAGAAAGAAATAATAATTTGGAGTGCAAAGAGGTAGGTTTTATCGTTTGAAGTTTATCTTGAAGATAAAAGAAGGTTAGAAAGCGGAGTGAATGCGGAAAGTAGACTTTTTTTGAGTTAGTGCGCAAGCACATCTATATTCGCAATTCCCCCATAATGCATTGCGCTTTTGGAAGTAACCAGGGAAAACCGCAAACATCATAAAAAAGCGAAGACTGATCAGAAGAATGCATTTTATGATATTTAAAGATGCACAAGAAACAACCACAAACAAACATGATGTATGTTTAAAAGTCTTTAGTACACCTTGAGTGTTTCTTGTAAAGGAGATCCTTTATATCCTTCTTTGTTTGCAGCACTATCCAGCTAAGCAGTGAATTTTGTTTCAGCCAATCACAGCGTGTTTTGCTCTTTTGCCGCCAGCCGTCATTCCCAATCTACTCTAACCCAACTTATGTATATTTTTCTGTTTCCTTTTGACTAAAATATAACTCACGTGCCTACGAGAAGCAGAAATATGGAAAGGAGTAATGAAAAACATTTTCATCCTACCGCCATGTTGGCTTCTTTCTTTCAAGCTCCAAAAATGCTAAGGCTGGTCATTTTGTCCACTCATGCTTTGCGCGCCGCGTTAAACCCTCAGCTGGATAACAGTTAACTAACTATTCAGCCATGATAAAATTGTATCATTAATATTAATATTTTTTCAGATGAAAGCAAAACAGTAAACATTGCATGCACATCTCGTGTTCACACGATAAAACGTAGCCTCCTTTGCAGCCGTTCTTAGGGTCGTCACGCAACGTTTCCCTCCCCAAGAACCTAAGAACGGCTGCAAAGGAGGCTAGATAAAATGCGGTACCTATATAGAGGATATTACATAGGCGCGCGGAGATACGAATTTTATCTTCGAGTGTTGAAAAGATCTCTCACGAGTGAGCTTAGCGAACGCGTTACGCGAACGAGTGAGAGATTTTCGACACGAGAAGATAAAATTCCTATCTCCAAGCGGCCATGTGATATTTTGTTTATTATATAATTATCAATGAAGTATGTTTTGGCTTTTTCAGGCAATTCTTTCCGTGTATTTTTGAATAGCCATCGCAATGGTGTTATTTTCACGCGTGAAAATAACATGTTATTTTCACGTGTGAAGATATCAATTTTTCGAAATAGAGAAAAATAGATATTTCATTGGTAATTATATAATAAAAAGATATAATAACCGACTGATTCGGTTTCTGCCGAATATAGATGTGTGCAAGGTTGCAGAGTATTAAAGTTGTGCGTGCGCAAGTAAAGCAACACACCAATGCAGACCTTATTTGAATAGATTGAATACGCTTCAGGCTCAGCCTCTATAACTTTTCATGTCTTGAATCTAGCTATTAATTAGATAAAGAAAGTTTACTAATTTATGATCCAGGCTAAGTGTAGAGTGTAACTGATAATCACGAAAAACTATGCCATGCACGTGTAACGTTGAACATCATTCTCTACAT